TCTAATTTTCTATAAGTGTTTTATGTATGCCCTGCTGGTGAGATGTCGAATATCTATGCGGTACTCCATTTCTTGACACACTCATGATAATTTCCTTTGTTAATGATTCGAGCACTTCATTTGCCTAAGTCCTAAGGAAATGGAGGCTTGACCACTTTGTCTTAAACAAACCCTCATAGGAAAAGATCAAAAAGGATTAGATCTGAAGACCTTGGTGGGCAACAAAGCAATGGCATGATCCAGCACGACCCAGCACGACCAGTTCAGCAAAAGGCTGGACTATCATTCATGTACTAATGTACATTTTTATACCAAAGGATGGACTATCATTCACGTACTAATGTACATTTTTAGACCAAAGTGGTGGAGTGCCGTCTGGCTGCAGAATGAAGTCAGGAACCACTTCCTCTAACTGGCAGAACTACTACTTTGATAGTACATCTTGGCAAATGCACGCGTTAATCCATTTTTCAATAAAAAAAGAGAACCAAAATCACAACTGCTGGAAATTGAATTTGAAGAATCATGCTCATGTTTCATTTAACTATGTGGAATTTCCATGTCCCAAAATCATAAATTATGGCATTCCATGTCCCAAAATCATAAATTATGGCAATTAACTTTGCCAGAAATGTGAAAAGAGGCTTCCATCTGTAAACACAAGTCTGTTTGCAAAACTATCTGCCTTTAGCTTATCTTGCAAATTCTCACAGAATGCTTTACGCAACAGTTTGCCGGAGGATTTAAACCCTTGCACCATCTGAAAGGTGCATGCTAGGATTATAGATGTTTCTGTAACACATGCCATACCATTACAAGAGACATGCTGTGTTCAGAACTTGCACGGTGCGTTAATTTTGTGAGACTTCAGAAAAATATTTCACAAATTTTTTCCAACCACCTCAGTTTCGTCTGCTGTTCATCCTGGTATGGTTTTCCTTAGACAAGCAGCTTGTGTCCTGAAACTGCTTCACCCAGTTGTGACAATGTGGTGGTTTGTTACCAGATTTCATGTGAATATGTCTTTGAACTACAATAAATGATGATGATTTGGTTTATAACAAAACACAGTATACTTTCTCCTGCACAAATGGCACTGTTTTGATTAATAGTGCCTGCAGCAGCAATTTTGTAACCGGAAGATATTTTTTGTTGTTGCCATATAAAACCTGTATGATTGCAGTTTTAGGATTAATTTGTTTTGCCTTAATAAATCAATTACAGAATTTGTACAATGTTATTCTTTTTGCCTCATTCAATATGAAACACACTGTATTGAAAACAGATGTCGTTATTATTGTTACATATGAGGCATTTTTGGTTACAACCAAGCAACAGCACCTGTCAAGGGAGATAGTTCATACAGGTAATCAAACAAGTCCAGAGCAAACCAGTTCAAACCGTGGTGTCATTGACGTCACAAGTTTTGACTCTTGCCTCCATCAAAACTTTATGTAATGTAAATGTATGTCTTCTTTGTTAATTGTAATGCTAAATATAATTTTTGTTGTGATAACAGTCTCCGTTTATGCTTAAATACAATTTTTGTTGTGATAACAGTCTCCATTTATTACTTTCGTGGAGTCTCAACATTTCCAGCTAAAACGGGTGACTTTAGCTAACGAACACACTGCCAGCAATGGAGTTTCACCGATGTCAAACAACAGGCATCTGTGCCATTTCAAAAAATTTGGAGCATGGACACTAAATGCATTGTTCAACATATCTTCTCAGTTATTTATGGCAATTGCAATATATTTATTGTATTTCCAAGTCGTGCATAGCCTTCTTAAGAGTGCCAATCTGATTGTGATTTGAAATGTTCCAAGGAGTTCGCCATCAGTGACATCATCATTCACCTACTCAACATTCGTGATCAGTGTGCTACAGCAGCGATTTTCAAGACACGTACTATGGCCGTGATTTCCTATAATTGTGCTACAGAAATGCTTTTCAGTAAATGTGCTTCTTTAGTGCAAAATGATAACATCTGGTGAGCATTTGTATGGCAAAAAAAAAAAAAAAAAGTCATGTTGTGAATACGGTACAAAGTACGTAATCCAGACTCGTCGGGACTTCGTTGATTCTGGATTATAGATCATCAATTTAAATCTGGTAAGATGACATTCAGAAATTATACAATTAAAAATATGAAACCGTAATTTATGAAATAAACAGCAATTATGATCTAAAGGGTATCAAAGTTTACAAAAAAAAAAAGCTTAATATTTATTTGTTTACTTAGTAAACTTTTCTATCGATGTAAGTTGTTTAAGTTGCTTCGCTTTTTGTGCTAATACTTTTTCTTTAATTCTATGAACAGACATTATTTCTTGTTCAGTTACAAAGTTCCACTATTCAAGTCCTGTAATTGCTTTGTCGAGAATACTGACTAACTTGTCAATCGAAATTTTTTCATTTTCAATAACGTTCTCTGTTACTTCTTCACTATTGGAAGCTCCCATAGGTAAACGCTTTACTCGCTTTACATAAATGCATAGCGGACGCACGCATCAAACGCGCATGCGTAAGTTTGAAGCTTCGAGGTCCGGATTATAGATCATTCCGGATAATGGACGTCTGGATTAGAGATTTTGTACTGTACTTCTCTCAAATAGTCCTTTTCAAGTAATGCAATGCAACTCAACAAAATATTTGTATTACTGCTGACAAATTCTTAGTTATGTGTACAGTTCCTGACTAAATATTATCTGTTTTCCACTTTGTGTTAAAGTATTAATAGTGTATCTTCCTGCTCGATTATTAATGCAGGCAGGTGGGTATTTAAAGAAAAAATTCTTATAAATATGTCTGACTCATTGCAAACAGAATCACGAAAAACATGTGTTGCAGTGAAGCCACCACCATTCTGGAAATATAACCCACCATTGTGGTTTGCGCAAATCAGAGCACAATTTTCTATCACTCACATTAGCAAAAACTCCATAAAATTCAACCACATAGTTGCAACAATTGAGTTTGATATTTTGAATTCAGTGCATGACTTGACCGTTCAGCCTACCGATAGTGATAAATATTCTAAATTAAAAGAGCGGCTCATAGAAATATATTCTGAAAGTGAATCCACAAAAATATTGTATATACCTTATTACAAGGACCTGACCTTGGTGAAAGAAGCTTCATACTTGCTCACATGGACGAGTGATCTGGCAGAAAACCATTTCAGCAACAACTTGAAATCACTATGGCTTTCTTGCCTTCCTAGTAACAGACAGTTCATTCTTGCTGCCTCCAATGGACAACTAACTCGATTGGCAGCAATGGCTGACAAAATTAACGAGCTGCTTGCTCTAGTATATGCCAATGATGCTAACACTGCATCTACGAATCCATCCCTGAACGCCTATTCTAGGATCACTCGATCCGTCTACAACTTGAGCGAACAATATTGACTAAAAAAAAAAAACAGTATGGACAGGCATCACAACTTATCAGAGAAAGACATTCTGTAGTCCTCAGTTGGTGGGTGGGTGGGTCCATCTGACTTTACTGAAAGGGAACAAGGCTTCAAACCAATCGCAGTAAAGAAGAGTGACGAAATTTATAGCGCATGCCGGCTGAAGTTCTAGGAATATTCTCCAATTATTTCACTAACTCTACCGCTGCATTTGTAGTTCGAAAAAAATCGCACAAAACAGTATTATGACCAACACGCAGCAGAATATGCTGTTGTGTTATGTGAAGGAAAATCGCATTTCTCAAGGGTAAAATTAACGCAGGAATTTAGGGCTAAGAAATAAAGAATGATGTGGGATACCATGAAAGCAACTGTAAATAGATAAGAGTAAATGAATTAAGCTTACTTCAAATCTTTTTAGAAATAAACAATTTTAATCATTTATGTTTATAATATGATTAATTTGCATTACCAATTAATCATATGTGGCACTTTTTACAAGAGTAAGAGGAATTGGATTTTTGTCAATTTTAAATAGGTACTTTTTTAAATGAAAATATGTACACATCGACCTATTTTCACTTAAAAGGTCAAAGAAAATTGACAAAAGTCCAATTCCTCTTACTCTTGTAAAAAGCGCCAAACAAATAAGTGGGCAATTCCGCACTTTACCCCTTAAAAGTACTTACATTATTAATTCAGCACCTCGGATTATTTTAAGCTTATAGAAATAGAATACATATGCCAACAAAAAGTGCAATTATCACACCATGGCTTTACCTCCTCTTGACAATGCCAGTCCAAAGTTAATTATACAGCCTTTTTCATTTTTAATAATTTATACCCCTACATTTTATATTATCGGTTTTTTATTTTTACTTCATTTTGCAAGAATTCTTTTGATTCCATTTTTAATTTTACAAAATTTTTTCTGATTCCATTCATAATTTGTAGTATCATGAATTTGCTCAAAATGTTTTACAGGTTACTTGTTTTTCTTTTGCTCGATTAGTTTTAATTTTAACCTAATCTTTATTTATAAATTACATCTTAGCAGCACTATGCGTAGAAAATGTTTTTTAAGTCCTCATTACGTATTTTTTTGAACGAAGTGTATATATACATAGACGTATTAATCCCCATATTTAATTTTCGTTTTGTACCAATACTGTTGCAGTTCAACATGTAAATCTGATGATAACGTTCTGCACAGTATAAAATTGCATAGCAAAATTAATTCATTCAAGGTGTGGTCATCATTAGATAATTATGAAAGAACAAAACAATGTCAACTTAATTTATTAACTTACCAAACGTAAAGAAATACATATTACTGATTTGCTAATTTCATCTATATGTACAAAACATCCTTCCTCAAAGGAAAAACTATAGAAAGCAATTGCCCAATTATGCTTGAAATTATATACGTAAAATTTTCTAATTCAAGCAAATTTAAAAACCGATTTATAAATAAATGTTATAACCTATCTTAAGTAAATGCAACAAATTCTATACAATTTAACAGCAAAATGAAAATACAAATATAATTCAAAGGGAAAATCCCGTTCAAGAAAGCACTTACTATCACGTCCCATACACAGCACAGCACACACCATTCTGATGTAACACTACGTATCGCAATCTAAACAATCATGTTACGGGGGGGGCAGACGAAATTTGTTTCACTTTGCAAATTCAATGCTGCCACTTCCAGAAAATTAATTACTTCAGTTGTGGAACGATGTTTGATACCACCTGGGTGCCTAGGCTAACTCTTTACCCCAAATCGAACATAGTTGAAAGTTTCGAAATATTTTACAAAGTAACTTATTTGAGAAGTAGTAATTTCTTTTAAATTTAAATGTGCGTATCTGGATAATCCTTTGTGCTTCTGGTTTTCAAGAAGCTGTTCGACATTCGAGAATAAAATACAATCTGTGTGTGTGTGTATCACTGTCTTTTATGGCAAAGTCTATCAATTTCAGTCTATCAATTGAAATTCCTTTGCTGTTCCATTAATTTCAATGTCAAAATACTTTGGTGCTCGGCGTTTGGCAACATAAAGCCCAAGATAAATTGGTTGCAAAGATGAAGTGGCTGTGTTCACATTCGGATATCTTGGATATTTTATTATCCACCACTACTATCCCTGTGGTGACCGAAGTTCTTCCCGAGCTAATCTCGAACTATCTTCCCGTTATAGCTACACTTGGGATTTCTAAAAACTGTGTAAATAGTACTCGTACTGTGACGAATTGGACTTTATTCGAAAACCTGATGAAAGAGTGTTGAACTTTCGTAACTTACTCAGTGAGAAAGGTATTGTCTCTGTTATCCGTACCCTGACAAATACTATACAGAACTCTGTCATTCATGCAAGCGAAAGCCTTCCGAACAAGGATAACCTCTTTAGACTTCCTAGACATATCCGGCTCCTTATTAACAGAGAAACAAGCTCCGGAAATTCTACCCCCTGACTTGGGATCCGGCCATCAAAAGGGACATTAACCGGCTAAACAGCGAAATTAGAAAATCAATCAAGCAACATAAGGAAGATCTTTGGTCAGAGAAAATGTTTCTTCTTGACATCAACAACGGTTCATTTTGGACTCTAATCAAAAGTCTAAAGACGACCTACTCGTGCAACCGTCCCTTGATTTTTAATAACATTATTGCAACTTCAAACCAGGAGAAAGCAGATATTTTCGCCAAACACCTGGAACTGCAGTTTACTCCTAATAATTGGCGAATGAACAAAGATTCGGAACTTGGAATACTTCTATCTGTCCACGATTGGCTAAATTTTCCTAGTGCGATAATTCGACTCAGACCTAAATAAATTGCTAATCTTGCAGAATAAGTATTTACGGATTATGCCAAACGCCCATTACTATGTAAGAAATAAACGCCTCCACCAGGACCTCAAGATTGAAACGATCAAGGACTATTTACGAAAACTAAACGAGAAGTTCTACAAAAGTGCAGAAGAGTGTGATCATCTAGTGCATTCAATTTGTTTCATTATGAGATATTGACGGAAGACAAACACCTTCGTCCTTTTGAGGCATTTATGCTAAGCAAAAACCAAGTCTTCCCACCTAACTCTGATAGTTTCAATTGTGAATGCTCATTAGCAGAAATGAACTGTTTCCTACTTTCAAGCAGCATCTCCATGGGTCACAACCCGAGAAGGTAACCCTCTCAAGTGATTATGGACTCCTGACTACGTAGATGGTCTTATCGCTTACACATTTTACTGGCATGTAAATAACGTATATATTGTACATAGCATCAAGCAACTTATTCAGAAGTCAAACAACAAAAATCAGCGTTACATTTTCAATATTTTCGCAGCACTAGTTTCGATGGTTTTACCGAACCACCATCCTTAGCTGCAAAACCGCAAATGAACAAGATCGGAAGTAATGATTAGATAAGATAAGAAAGCGTGAACAAGAATAAGCAAGTGGCGCCATCTGTTGCTGAAACCAGAATTAAAACAATTTCTTTAAAGGCTGAAGGCAGAGATAAATTGGAATTAGGATCGTTAACTAGAAAAGAAAGATTTTTTGAAGGTGAAATGCCTCTAGAAAATCCAGTTCTTCAATGGAAGATGTTTTTCGAATAATTTTGGCAGCAGAAAAATTGAAAGTGTGATTTTCGGACCAACAATGTTGAGCAACAGAAGACTTCTGTGTTTCCTTTTTTCTAACATATGCCTCATGTTCCTTGACGCGAAATTTTAAGGCTCTCCTAGTTTGGCCAATGTAAATCAAATCACACTGGTAAGGAATCCTATAAATACCCCAAGAATTCATATCCGGAAGGGGGTCCTTGAGTATGGAACTCGGAATTTTATTGATGGGAGAATAAACAACCCGAAAGTTAAATTTCTGCAAAATATGTGCCACTTTATAGCTAATTGCTGGAAAGAAGGGAATGACAACAGAATTTTTATAATCTCCTAAAACAAGAGTGTGCCTTTTAGTGTGTTGAGATGAGAATTTTTAACTGCTTGATTAATATTGTTGGGTGAAAAGCCCCTGTCAATAGCTATTGCTTTTAAATAATTTAGTTCTTCATCAAGGGCTAGTTTGGAGGAGCAAACTTGAAGAGCACGGAAAACATAGGAATAAAATGAAGCTAACTTTGTTTAGTCGGATGACATGACTTAAAGTGTGGTGGAAGGCAAACCGATGAAGGTTTACGGTAAACCGAAGAGTACTGAAGTTGGATGTGTTACTTTGTGGACCAGAATGTCGAGAAACGGAAGAGAATTGCAAGTCTCAAGTTCAAAAGTGAAATGAATAGCAGGATCAATAGAATTCATTGTTGAAAGAACTTTATTATATCATCTTTATTACCTTCCAAACAGGGTAAAAGTATCGTCTACATAGCGGAACCATACCGGGAAGTTAAAGTTTTAAAGACAATTTTGATTCATAATAATGCATGTAGATATCAGCCAGGATGGACTGAGGGCTTCCCATGGCTAATCCTTCAGTTTGCTTGTAATATTTATTTTGGAAAACAAAATGTATTTGTTTCAAACAGAGTTGAGTGAGAGAAATTAGCTCATCAATTTCGATGCAGGAGAAATGAAATTCGCGAAGTCTGGTTTCTAGACATCTTAATGCACCCTCCACTGGAACATTGGTGAATAATGATTTTACATCAAAAGAAACCATGAGTAAATTTCTAAGAGAAATGTTTTTAACCTTTTTTACGAACTCTATTGAATTTTTTAATGTGTAAATGTTATTGTCTAATAGAGTTGAAAATCTAGAAACCAAATATTTAGCTAAGAGATGCGAGGCAGTGCCTAAATTTGATACAATAGGGCGGAAAGGAGTACCACTTTTATGAACTTTGGGAAGATCATATAATCTGGCACAATTCGCAACAGATGATAAGCGAATGTTTTAAGTTGCTGAATGATTTGCGAAGATTGATCGCAGTTTTTTTTTTTGACAGTCCGAAGATGAAGGATCTTTAGGGATCGGATTATATAGTCCCTTCGTTTAAGAGTTTAGTGACACCATCGATGTAAGTGTTTTATCCATGACGACTATCTGGCACCTTTGTCGGCCTTTGAAATGATAATATACGGGTTAGAAGGGAATTTCGTGCATTGTAGCTCTTTCTCTCGCAGTTAGATTTGGTTTCAAAGGTTATTATTGAATTCACATTTGAGCGATAAGATGCCTAATCATTTCTTTCTGTGAATCTGAAACTTTACTGAACTTGAAAGCTTTTTCGATAGGAGCCAAAATCTTTGGAAACGAGGGTTTACAGGTTTGTGAGAAGTTTAAATTATATTTTAGAATTCTCTCTTGTTCTTCTGAAAGACTAACATTACAAATATTAACTATTGGCTTGATGGTTACAATGGGAAGATTTTTTGAACTACTTGAACTCGAAGATTGTAAAAAAGTTTTTCGAATTTATCTGCAAGGGTGTTTTATGACGTTAACTGCATTCTCCGTTCTAGACAAGAGTTGTTCAAGGGCAGTGATTTTGGATATGATTTAGCGAGTTCCAGATGAACTTATAGAGTTCATGTTCAATTTTGGACATTGTTGACGTGTATCCTTATGACGGACCGAAGTAAGCAAGCTTGCAATTTAACAGAATTCTTGAAACGCGACTCGAAGGTTTGTTTTGATTAGATTTGATTTGAATAAAATTGGGGATCAATGTTTACATTTCATTTAAGTAAAAAGTCAAGATGATTCAGGATTTTTTGCCGTTTCAGGCGTAATTTAGTGAAACGATTAACGGATGAAGGCATGCATGATAAACAATGCAGAAAATCAAACTAAATTAACTAAACAATAATAAAGCACACAAAAAACAGCAGAAAAAAATCCCTCACTGAATGAATAGAATACAAAACGTTTGTAAGCAAAATGCATGAAATCAGACAAGCAAAGCACATAAACAATTATAAAAATATAAACATGACTTGAAAATTGCAAATAAGTACTTCCGAAACTCATGCAATCACAAAATGGCGGCCACACCACGTGCAAAAAAGAAAGGAAAAAATAAGCCTGTTTGGGGCTTCTATAATTAAGATCCAATAACACGCCGAATAAAATACTAATTCATAAGTCAAACAACAAAAATCAGCGTTATATTTACAAAATTTTCACAGGAATAGTTTCGATGGTTTTACCGAACCACCATCCTCAGCTGCAAAACCGCAAATGAACAAGATAGGAAATAATGTTTAGATAAAGTTACATGTTAGAAAAAAAGAAACACAGAAGTCTTCTGCTGCTCAACATTGTTGGTCCGAAAACCACACTTTCAATTTTTCTGCTGCCAAAATTATTCAAAAAACATCTTCCATTGGAGACGGATTTTCTAGGGCATTTCACATTCATAAAAATCTTTCTGTTCTAGTTAACGATCCTAATTCCAATCTTATTTGCCTTCGGCCTTTAAAGAAATTATGCTTTAGTTCTGGTTTCACCAACAGATGGCGCCACCTGCTTATTCTTGTCCAGGCTTTTTTATCTAAACATTATTTCCTATCTTGTTCATTTGCGGTTTTGCAGCTGAGGATAGTGGTTCGGTAAAACCATCGAAACTAGTCCTGTGAAAAATTT